ATCTCCTGCTAATTTTCCCTCTGAAAGTTCACACTGCTATAGCATTGGATGGCAACTTGTCTACCGCAGAAAGAAATGGCAACCTACTGTGGGGAAAAATCTGCCTCGTCAGTCATGTATCGAAAGATACACGTTCGCCTAAGTGTGTATCACGTATGGCATATAACTGACTTACTTCATGTTATAGCAATTAAAAGAAAAATTAAAACAGCAACGAAAATATTGAAATTGTTGAAATGTTAATATATTTGTATTATTTCGAACTACTTTTTTCATCTTGTTTGATATAGATACTATTATAAACACAACGTTTCGACCAAGTACCCTCTGGTCAGCATCACTTTCTCTTTTATTTGGGCCAATTTTGGTTTCACTTTTTTTTTTTTTTTTTTTTTTCGCTCATCGAACAATGACTAACTTCTTTCTGCATGTGTCATAAAGAGGATTCTTGGCCATTTCGAAATGCAACACCCAACGTTTCACTGCATTTCAAGTCCAGGGTATACGGCGGTTACACGGAATAATTGGAAGCAGATGAAGTGTAATGGCTTTTACTAGTCTCGTATGCTGGCTGTAACAACTTTCAAAATATCACAACGCATGTCCATCCGACTGGGACATTTTGACAACGCCGTACCCAAATATTACGGACCATCTGAAAAAAATTCCCAAGCCTACATTTATTTTACAGCAGTGATTATTCTCTCTCTCTCTCTCTCTCTCTCTCTCTCTCTCTCACACACACACACACACACACACACACACACACACACGAAAAACAAGACAAAAAACGTGATAGCCAAATTGCAAACATGTACAGTGAAACCTCGGTTCACGAATTTAATTCGTTCTTGAAGCCCGTTCGTAACCCGAAATGTTCGTTAATCGAAACTATTTTTCCAATAGGAATCACTGTAAAATGGATTAATCCGTTCCTAGTCCCAAGATGATTGCTTATTTAACTTTTACAAAAGTACTTTGTGCACAAGTTTATACACAAAACTAATAAAAATCGAAGAAAAAATATAGGAGAGTTAATGGCGTTAATGGAAGGGGAAGGAAAGAAATGTTATTATTTGGAAAAGGGAAGGAAAGACATGATCATCTCTTTATTTATAAGAATAGTATAGATCGTTGATTTTGCCATATGAAACTGAGTAGGAAGAGACAATATCACCAACAATTGTTTTTCTCTTAACTTTTCTTTTTCCTTTAACAGTACCCCTGATAGCTTTCTTTGGAGCTATGACTGAGGACTAATAAAGAGAAGAAAAAGTCACAGTACAATAAAATTGGAAGAGAAAAGCACAACACCTCACAAGAATGTATACAACACGGTGGTCGACTAAGAAATGATTCCGTTCGGGTTAACTCGGTTCGGCCCGATTCGGCAATATTGTTCGAGAACCGAAATTTTGCTCGATAACCGAGGCAGTTTTCATCTCGAATTTTCTATTCGAAAACCGATTTGTTAGACATGTGAGACGTTCGAGAACTGAGGTTTCTCAGTATTTTATTCCCGTGACGAGATGAGTAATTGTCAATATTCTTGTATTATTTCAAACTATTGTTTTCACCTTAGTTGATTTAGATGTTGTTACTAACTAGATGTTACATTAGTATCTTGCATTATCCGGCATCCCCTGCGTTCTCTCCCCAGACGTCACACACTTGTGTACCCTTGGATTGTAGGAGTAAGAAGAGAGTGTCTGCTATGGCTCAGCGCAAACCATTGCAACATTATCAACCTGCGCAAGGCAAGCCACCTAGCGCCTATTCAACGGCACACAAGTCCTATGCTTCCAATTTTGGCCTCAGAACTCAAGGGCACACTTGTTTAAATGTCAATGCCTCGGCTTTATTAGATCAGTTTTATGCTAGGCTGGATCATCATCGATTTTCGATGGACTCATTATTATAGACGCATCGATTTGATCAAGTACCCTGTGGACATCATAATAAAGCACGGTGGAATAATGGTTAGCGGCTCGGATTGAGGAATCGGAGAGCCGTGTTCGTTACATTCACTCACGTGCAAATACCCTTGGGAAAGGTAAGAATCCATCTCCCCACTCCCGCTGGTAAATAACTGGACAGACGGACGTCCTATAGCCTTGAATGGTAGCCAATATAGGAAAAGGACAACTCTGAATTCAAAACCCCCATCTATAGGTTAAATAGCATCACCAAGCCGCAATTTGCTAAAACGGGGGTCCTATAGCCGGATAGACATGGTCAATCAGGAAAAAGGTTTCTCCAAAAGGCATGAAAAGATTCTGCATTTCTTTGAAAGGTACGCAAATAATGTATATATCAGGAAGGCTTCTCTACTTTTTTTTTAATTGTTTCAATCCAAGCAAGGCGATAATGCCGCTAAGATGGAAGAGGTTATAGGGTGTGAAATAGAATTTAAATTTTTGAAGATTGTAGATGGCAATGAAGCAATAAATTGAAAGGGAGTCGCACAGTCGAGAAGTGCAAGAAAATGTGTTAGAAGAAACAGAAGGAATGAAAAAGCCCTGGAACTGGAATTGGAAATGTTATTTGTTTTAGGAACTAATTATAATGATAAATGTATCACCCTAACTACTAATTATATGTGCCAATTAAGAATAAATCGTTTTTTGCACGGTAGTTGTATCGTACGCAGTTGCCCCCCCCCCATAATAATCGTCATTGTTCAAGCCCCTACAAAAGCCAGGACTTCAAATACTGATTGTCAAGACACACAGAGCCCTTTCTTTAGTCGATTAGCACAACACAGCTTTTTTTTCTCTCTGTTTGACCTTGTGTCAATAATCGATGATTTGTGTACCATTCTAGTTCTTTCATGGCTCTTTCCAGAGCTGTGGAGCTTATCGGACGGCACCCATCTTTGTAAAAACACAGCATACAGTAAGAATAAAACAGAAAAAAAATGGAACTCGTTTAGTCTGCTCTTTCCCATGCAGCAGATTAATCTGGCCTTGCACCACATGTTTATTACTTCTTTTTTTTTAGATTGCTACAAAACGCTTTGATGGGAAAAAAATAAAAACCAAATTCAAGAGTTTGCCGAAAACCTTTTCGCATTAAAACCTACGGAATGTTACTCAAACTGTATCGAGGAACTGCCTGATAAGTGTCAATAAGTCATTGCAAATAATGGCGAATAATTGAAAAAAAAATCAAACTATACTTTATTTTTTGAAGAATAAACTTAGTAAGCAAAAACTGAAATTATTTATGACCAAACCAGTCAGAATTTCACATTATAATTTACTATGGAGATTGGCTCAACAATTTTCTTTCTCCAGTCTTAACTAGCTTGGCCTTGTGTCATACTAAGCTAAAGTTTAATATCAAAACGCGGAGAGAGAGAGGAAGGTGAAAGGGAATGTGGCTATTATGACTGCGCGCATGCGCATTTGTTATCAGCTGATGTTTGTAAAAAGCGCTTCTGATTGGACAAACCGAGGAAATTTCTTGTCTGACCTAAAAACCTTAATTTTCATTTGAAATGTGGAAAAATTCCGTTTATTTTTCAGCGTGATGCATGTATGTTCTCAAAATAATAAATTATCGTCTGACTAATTATGTCAGGAATAAAAAATAAATTAATAAAATGTGAGGAAAAACTGGGATTTTTTAGAATCAGAAAATGAAATAAAATAAATGGTTCTGTTTTTTTTATTCAGCTAAACAAAATTCTTCACTGTGTTGATAGAAATTATATACGATAGTAAATGTAAGTAAATTAAACTTTACTAAACAGATTTCTACATATAGATTGAGATTAAATAACACGGTATACGCATTAAATATTTGAGCTCAGCTGGCGAGATATCTCGCAAGAAGTATCTTTGTTAGCAAAGTGGCTGACGAGATATCTCGCGAGTTTTTTTTTTGTTTTTGTTTTTCCAAAAGCGGTTGGACGTAATATCTCACAAGAAAATTTCTGTTTCCAAAGTGGTTGATGAGATATCTCGCGAGAAGTATCATTTCCCCAAAGCAGGTGACGAGATATCATGCGATTTTCTTTTTTTCTAAAAACGCACAACGAGATATCTCGCGAGGTGTCTCCGTTCTCGAAGAGGCTGACGAGATATCTCGCGAGTTTCTTTTTTTTAAAAAAAAAAAAAAAAAAAAAAAGCGGTGAACGTGATATCAAGCGAGAATTTTCTCTGTTCCCAAATCGGCTGACAAGATATCTCGTGAGAAGTAACTTTGTTCATAAAACAACTGACGGGATATCTCGCGAGATATTTCTTTGCTCCCGGGGCGAGTGACGAGATATCTGGCTAGAAATGTCTTTCTGCTTGGGTTTCTTACTCTGACAGAAAATCAGGTAGTGATTCAAGACAAATCGTAGATACGAGAAGCAATGATTTGTCCTAGAGCAGATGAGATATTTCGTAGATATGACATTACACAGACAATACACACGGTTCCAAGTAGCTGAACCCCAGCAAGGAAGCCTATAACTATGCAATTTTTATTCTTTGTAGGTTAGCGATGAAGTGACGGTATATGGGTACACCTCAAAAAAATCTAGATTACCAGAGCCTGGTAACTGATCTCTCTCCTGACCTAGCTCAATGGGAGGGAAAATGGCGACTGTCATTCAAAAAAAAAAAAACTAGCATCGTTCCATCATCATCGAGCAGACCCCGACCATTTATAACAATGAACAGGTGTTCTTATAGCGGGTTATTTGTGGTTTTCAGTTTGGGCCTTGTTATGATTAGCCTACTAGAAGGGATGTATGTATGAGTAAATAAAACACGATGAATCACATTTTAAGAACAATCAAGTCTGAAGTATGACAATAATAATTTATATAAACATTAATAAGTGATTTCATGTTGTACAAAAACAGTAGTAATGTTCATAGATGGCACAAGGTTACTATTCAAGTAAGATTAATTAAGATGATTTTTTATTACATCTCAATGAATACAAGAATTTGTAAAAGTACTTAAATGTTTTTGAGAGATGCTGTTTCATTTGGTAATATGTACTGTGAATAAGGAAAAGGAGGTTGAATGTATGAGAGAAGTAAAGGGAGGTGAAAATGATGAGACAGGTGTGAGGAGTGGTAGTAGTTGCTGAAGCCCAGATGTCTTTGATGAATCCACTCATAGTTGTAAGTGTTCGTCTCTCTGTGTCTTTGTGTGTTTCCTTTTGGAATATCTTTTCTTCTTTTAGACAGGGGTCTATTTATATTGTTAGCGAAGTTGAAAGAGGCTCCGATTAAGTTGTTGATTATTTCAGGCGCGCTCATTTCTTATTAATCAACATGTATTTATTTAGGATTGTACTAAATCAACTTCAACCGGAAGTTATGCGTGGAACCTATTGCGCAAAGCCCGAGATATGTCATTATGTTTTAAGCTATGAAATAGGTAACTTCCTGTTTCTCCTCTTAGTGATACTACATTTTCTCAAGTTTCCCTCTTGCCTTGAATACATACTGGGACTTAAGCCCAATCCAGACCTCAGATCCTGATTCTTGGTCAGATTGAGGTCTGGTAAATTTCCAAGCTGTCTGCCAAATCCATCTTTTAAAAAAATAAATAAAGCATTTTGCAAGCTGTGCATGTTGTTCTTAACCTGATTATTCAACTCATGAATTAAAATGTTAACAATAAAAAACACAATGTCAGTAGCATCATAAAACACTATGAAAATATTTTTAGCATAATAAAAAACACAATTAAAATTTTAGTAGCATAATAATAATAAAACACTATTAAAATGTTAGTAGCATAATAATAAAACACAATTAAAATGTTAGTAGCCTAATAAAAAATACCACTAAAATGTTAGTAGACATTAAAATATTAAGGAAATTAATATTTATTTTGATCTATTCAATATTTATTTGTTTTCAATGCAAATAATATATATTGTAGCATAAATGAAAGTTAAAAATATTAAAGTTTTCAAAAATGAATAAATGCAAAGATTAGTTAAATTTTACTGTCATTTTATAAATGTTTTAAGTTTATTTTAAAATTTCAGTTAAACCTCTCAAAGAATATTAATATATTCCGACCATTCACGATCAAAACAAGTTTGAAAAGTCTTTATCAAAATATTTTCATTTACAATTACCTGCTTCACATTTTGACTAAAAGGTTTGTCTTTAACAAATTTTAAAATTCTTCATTGTATTTTCAATTTAGTCTATAAGCAGAAAACATAACACATAAACGTTGTTTGTTAATAGTTCATTGAAGATTTTTAACTAGAACTTGATGGAAAAAATATAATCTTCTTGCCTTGTTTGTTAAAGCAAAATTAGTTCTTATAATTCGATAATAATTTATTATTTTTTTTACATTTAGAGATAAATAATCCCGACAACTACATTTAAGTCCTTCAACCTTCATTTGGGTTTTATTTAACAGTTTAAAAAGATGCTCTATCGTCCCCAGGAGGATATTAATTTCAAGTCCGGATTCTTAGTCAGAGTGATGTCTGGTGAATTTCCCGGCTGCCTAAATAAATAAAGCATTTTACAAGCTGTTCATTGTTCTTAACAAGACTCTTGACCTGATTCTTCACTCCCCCAAAATTGGCAAATATTAATCTGGAAAAATAGTCGGTTCCTTGCACCACACAAGTAAGTACCCAACTCCTTTTGCTATACTCTACCTTTACTTTTAACTGTGCCTCTTACGCTTACTGTTCACACATCAACCGCCTTCAGAAAACATCTAACTTGAGTGGCTCCGGGGCCTTGTATAGGATGAACATTAGTAAAAAAAAAAAGAAAAAAGAAGAACAAATATCAAATCTTTAAGACTAAGTAATGGCTGGTTAATTGTCTGCTAGGGTGGTTAGATAATCCCTGTTGCAGGCACCTATTCAGGCGCATTGTATTTCAATACCCACAGAGCAAATCTGCAGTTTATACTACATTTATACTGGGAATACCTTAGTTGCAGTATCTGGATGAGAGTATCTAGTGTAGTCAGTAGTTAATAAGGCTAGAACGCTCGAACCCTCGATCATGATGACTTGTGACTTCGTGCTAACACAACTGTCGATGGCTTCCGAATAATTTCGTCTACCCCATTTCACTTAAAGTATTTGGATCAACCCGAGGTATATTTCTCAAAATGCTTTAAATTATGGTAAATATATTTTAAATAAAGACACATATTTTTGCATAAATCGCCTTATATTACGAATAAATAAATATATATATATATATATATATATATATATTGTGAATAAGAGTCAGTACTTTTTCCATTAAAGATAGTTAGGATTTCAATAAAAAAAAATATTTCCGAGAAAGAATAACTAACTTCTCTAACCTATCAATGTTTATCTCTTTACCCTTTGCACAAAATGGCGTAGTTTCAACTAACCTATATACCATGTAACGAGGCACGTACACCAACATTTTTCCCTACACAAACGAGTAAGCATAAACTAAATTTAATACTGAACAAAGTTTCAGTACAGTCTCACAACATCTGATGAATGTCGAAATACAAAAGGAGGTCAATGCCTGGACGCAGTACTCATTAGTTTATCTTCAAACGTAGAACAGATTGTTTTAATTTGAAAGCTCTTAAAATGATACCTTCACTGGCCCGCTTCACAGCTAATATCTGTTTTGTAACATAAAACAATGTGACTTTATGACGGCTACACAACCAAGGAGAGTAAACCGGAGCATAGGTAAACCTATCTACTCCTATTATGGAAAACAATTAAATAAAACAAACAGTAAAAATGTCAGAGTTTAGACAGAGACGTTAGAAGTATAGAGGTGAAGTAAAATTTAGAAGCAGAAAACAAGGGATAAAACACTATTTAAAAGACCGAGGAGGGAGAGTGAACCGGACGATGGGCGGATGTGTCTGCTCCTATTAAATCTTAAAAGAACGTGATTCGAGTTTTTAGGTTAATATTTTGCCTTTGTATCATCTTGCGGCACGGATTGAGGAATTGGAGAGCCGAGTTCGAATTTCAGTCGAATCCATTACATTCACTTACGTGATAATACCCTTGGGAAAGGTATGAATCCTCTTCTTCTCCCCCGACCCAACTATGGGTAAATAGCGGGACAGACTGGGTTCTATAGCCTTGGATGGCAACTGGTCTACCGCAGAAAGAAATGGCAACCTACTGCGGGAAAAAAATCTACTGCGTCAGTCATGTATCGAAAGATACATGATCGCCTAAGCGTGTATCACGCATGGCACACAACTAACTGACTGAGCATCTTGTGATGTTGAACAAAAGAACCCCTATTGTAGCTGACTTAGGCTCAATTTCTTTATCTCGAAATTTGTTATCACTGATCCATACACTTCGGTATCTGATGTACTTAGATTTTATTAATTCCACATCCGGAATTTTAATAATGGACTCATGGTCAGTGCTGTTGTGGGAGTCTAGGAATTACTTCTTGAGATGTAGAAGTCACCAAAGCAGAGGCTTACTTGTTTACAGGTGGTTAATTTGGGATAATGTCCTTAATCCAAATATACACCAATTTATGACCTGTAAAAATGCAATGATAATTAATACAATGACATATAGTGCATGTACTGATAAAAATTTATATCTTTCAAAATAAAATATACAATAACATTCAAAGAGTTCATAAGTTCCTTTCAGAAAGTTATCGTGTTGAAAGTCTTTAGGTCCTCAGTATATATAGAGAGAGGAAGAAAGAGGAAATACTTTGTTAATATGTATATAGGTATGTGTTTCTTGATAGCAGTTAATTCTTTCGACTCTCTCTCTCTCTCTCTCTCTCTCTCTCTCTCTCTCTCTCTCTCTCTCTCTCTCTGTGGGATTTTTAGGTGTCCGAAGCTTTAGGGACAGCAGATGAAATTCTTTTTAGCGTCTGGTCCGGTCAGTTTGTCTGCTCGTCAATATCTGCCATAACACTTTTTCTAAAGACAATAGAATCCATTCCCAAATTGTTCTTGATTTTGAATGTTTCCAGAAATGACTGGGATTGTGAAAATCCCTTTTTTCTTTACCTACATTTAGGAATGATAACCATTTTGGCCTCTTTTATTTATTTATTTATGTTTTTCTTATCTTTTTTGTTTTTATTTTTTTACGGAAAAAAAAATGAATGCCAACTTTTAGCTTTCTGGTTTTTTATTTTTGAAATAATGATTTTTTTTTTTTTCTATCGCTACACTATCTTTCTTTCTCACCTTACATTATTTACATTATTCCGATTATTGTCCTCATCTTTGTCGCCATATTTATTACAACGTTTCGGCCGTTGTACGCTCCGGCCTTCTTTCTCACCTTATTTGGTTCTTGCTTTCTTTCCTTCTTTCTTTCTTTTTTTGGTCCTCACATTCTTTCTTTCTTTTCTATCTTCAGGTTCTCACATTTTCTTTCTTTCTTTCGTTCTCTCTTTCTTTCTCTCTTTTTCTTTTTTCTTTCTTTCTTTCTTACTTTTTTTGGATTCTCACCTTTCTTTTTTTTTCTTTTTTCTTTTTCATTTTTTTCCTTTTTCTTTCTTTCTTTCTTTCTTACTTTTTTGGATTCTCACATTTTTCTTTCTTTCTTTCATTCATTCATTCATTCTTTCTTTCTTTCTTTCTTTCTTTCTTACCTTTTTGGATTCTCACATTTTTCTTTCTTTCTTACCTTTTTGGATTCTCTTTCTTTTTTTTTCTTTCTTTTTCTTTCACGCTTTCTTTCTTTCTTTCCTTTCATTTGGGTTTTTCATTCTTTTCTTTCTTTCTTTCTTTCTTTTTTCTTTCTTTTACCTTTTGGATTCTCACTTTTTTCTTTCTTTCTTTCATTCTTTTCATTCTTTTCTTTTTCTTTTTTTTTTTTCCCCTTTTGGATTCTCTCATTTTTCTTTCTTTCTTTCTTTCTTTTCATTCTCTTTTTTCTTTCTTTCTTTCTTTCTTTCTTTCTTTCTTACCTTTTGGATTCTCACAAATATTTGGGTTTTTTTCTTTCTTTTTTTACCTTTTTGGATTCTCACTTTTTTTTTCTTTTTCTTTCTTTCCTTTTTTTGGATTCTCTTTTTTTTTTCTTTCTTTTCTTTTCTTTTTTTCTTTCTTTCTTTCTTTCTTTCTTTCTTTCTTTCTTTTTTATTACCTTTTGGATTCTCACATTTTCTTTCTTTCTTTTCTTTCTTACCTTTTTTGGGTTCTCACATTTTCTTTTTTCTTTCTTTCTTTACCTTTTTGGATTCTCATTTTCTTTCTTTCTTTCTTTCTTTCTTTTCTTTTCAAATATTTTCTTTCTTTCTTTTCTTTCTTTCTTTCTTTCTTTTTTTGTTCCTAACATTCTTTCTTTATTTATTTATTTCTTTCTTTCTTTCTCACCTTTTGTTCTCAGCCCTTTCTTTTCTTTTTCTTTCTTTCTTTGGGTTTTCTTTCTTTCTTTCTTTCCAACAAATATTTGGGGTTCTTTCTTTCTTTCTTTCTTTCTTTCTTTTTTCTTTCTTTCTTTCTTTCTTTCCCACAAATATTTGGGTTCTCATACTTTCTTTCTTTCTTTCTTTCTTTCTTTCTTTCTTTCTTTCTTTCTTTCCCACAAATATTTGGGTTCTCATACGCTTTCTTTCTTTCTTTCTTTCTTTCTTTCTTTCTTTTTTGAAATAGTAATCTTTTTATTTTTCTATCACTACACTGTCACTACCCCCATTCCAATTCCACATAATAGTCTAGTTAATGATGCTCGCAGGAGATTCCCTATTTTCTTTTTTCTTTTCTTTCCCTAAAATATTTGGGTTCTCATGCCTTTCTTTTGATGAATCATAATTCTTTCTTTTAATGAGGAAATAAACTCCTTGCATGTTCCGCAGATATAAAATGCCTGTGGAAATTCCTTTATTACATCGTTTATTTGAGCTTAACAGCTTTAAAAATTTGTTTTATTCTTTCTTTCTTTCTTTCTTTCTTTCATTTCTTTCCTCAACTTATTTTGGGAGTGCACACAAGGGGTTATAGAGAGTGCAAGTAAGAGAAAAGAGGGGGTGTTTGAGAAAAAGATATAGAGAAGGACATTACACTTAAATTTTTGTTCTCATACCTTTTTCTTTCTTTTCTTTCTTTCCCACAAAAGTTTTATAATTATCAGGGAAGCTTTCTTTTTGAAGATTTTAATTATTGGGTTCAAGTAAGAGGAAGGGAGTTCCACTGTCGGGAAGTGCGAAAGAAGAAGCTGTTGGAGCTTTTTTTCTTTCTTTCTTTCTTTCTTTCCCCTTTCAAAGGCGGTTACATTTAACTGTTTCCACAGTGAAAGGTGGGACCGAGATGGCAGCTTTATTAGCTTTCTTTCTTTCTTTCTTTTTCTTTTCTTTCTTTCCCACAAATATTTGGGTTTCATCACGCTTTCGCTTAAATTCATGCAGTTGAGATACCAATGAAAGTAGATCGTCAGAGCAGTTGCCATGAAAATGTGTAGAAAAGACAGAGGGAAGCCACAGCATGTGTGTGAGGTTCTGACTAGACAATATGCCAGATCAGGACCTATCACATTTGCATATCTCTCTGAAGAATGCCAAATATTTGGAGCTTTCTTTCTTTCTTTCCCCCAAATATTTGGGTTTTCTTTCTTTCTTTCTTTCTTTCTTTCCCTACAAATACAACGACCGAAACGTCAAATATTTTGGGTTCTCGATGAATATGATAATGAAGATGAGGACAACAGTCCGAAGAATGTAGATAATGTAAATAGAAAAGGGTTTCTCTGCACTTTCTTTCTTTCTTTCTTTCTTTCTTTCTTTTTTCCCACAAATAGAGAGAGAGAAACACAGAGAGAGAGAGAGAGAGAAAGAGAGAGAGAGAGAATATATATGTTTTAAGGAAAGCAAATGCTTTCTTTTAATTTGAATTTTTAAAAATATTTTTATCTTTTATTTTTACATTTGGGCACATCACATTACGAGGAGTTTAATATTTGAGCACAATCTTAATGGCATAAGGCATTGCAGATGACACAGTGTTGATAGCAGACACAGAAAGAAATCTACAAAAAACAGTTACAGAAGATAGTGAAGGAAAGCGAGAAGAAAGGACTAAACATCAACTGCAAGAAAACAGAATGCATGGTTGTTAGCAAAAAAATAAATAAATAAATAAACCCAATGTACGAATTGCAAATCGGAGATGCCAAAAGGAAACAAGCGTAGGAATTTAAATATCTGGAAATTGTTTTAGCTTTCTTTCTTTCTTTCTTTCTTTCTTTTTTCTTTTCTTTTTGAAATTAATCTTTTATTTTTCTATCACACTGTCAGAGGACGGAAAGCGTGCAAGGGTTTTCAAGTAAAGAGAAAAGAGGGGGTGTTTGAGAAAAAAGATATAGAAGAAGGACATTTTACGAAGATTATAATTATCAGGAAGCAAGTAAGAGGAAAGTTTATTTCCAGCTGAAATCCGAAGGCGTATTGGTATGTCCAAGGAAACATTCTAAAAGATAAGCAGAGTACTAAGGAATAGAAAAACTTCACTAGAAATAAAAAAGAGACTACTAAACCGTTACGTGTTATCTGCCCTCTTGTATGCCAGTGAGTGCTGGACAATCTTCTCAAAGATGAAGAAGAGACTTGAAGCAACAGAAATGTGGTTCTACAGAAGATTACTGAGGATACCATGGACCAAACATGTGAGCAACGACAGAGCTTTAGAGAAAATGGAAACAAAAAGGAAACTTATATTTTGCATAAGGAAGAAACAGTTGAGATTTCTGGGGCACATAATGAGGAAAGAGGGCTTGGAAAATCTGATACTCACGGGACAGATAGAGAGCCAGTGGGAGAGAGAAAAAACAGTGCATGGCATACTTAGTGAGCTTGAGTCAATGAAAAGCGGACAGGGTTTTTGGGGAAATAACAGAAAGACCAAGTTTATTAAGAGCTACAAAGAAGAGGAAGTTGTGGAGAGCCATGATCACCTACGTCCTGAGGGCACACAGCACATGAAGAAGAAGAAACATAGAACGACCATCACTGCAAACGTTTATGGTCAGCAACTCGATCGGCTAAACGGAACATTAAATCGAAAAGTGTCCTACTCTGCTGTTATTCCTCTTACTTTATATCGCATCTCCCAGATCGTTATTCTACGATCGTAAGTAAGCAGCGATTGATTTCTGTTCTACGGCTTATCAACCCTTTAAAGCCGAGACATATTTTGGATTGTAAGAATTTTTTGCCAGTGAATATTGTAATATCATTTTTTTTAATAACAGTAATTTTTCCAGATACTATTTAACCCATAGCTGGGGACCGGAGCTGGATACATACCTTTCTCAAGAGTATTTGCCCGTAAGTGAAGGCTATACATTGCACCAGCCGCATATGTTAGTAAACAGCGAAGATTGTAAATAAAGAATTGCGAGTGAATATTGCATTATAACAATAATTTTTCCAGATACAAGTTCTACTATTTAACCCATAGCTGGGGACCGGAGCTGGATTTATACCTTTCTCAAGGGTATTTGCACGTACGTGAATTCTATACATTACACCAGCCGCATATGTTAGTAAACATCGAAGTATTTGCGCGTAAGTGAACGTAACGAACCCGACTGGAATTCGAACTCGGCTCTGCGATTTCCCCTTCCGAGCCGCTATAGTTTACACCAGCCGCCTATGCTAGTAAGTGGTGAAGATCGGAAATGAAGGACAACTTTCTAGCAAGATTCGAATTCGCTTCCTTTTCCCTGGGAAGCTCGCTTTTAATAATAATTGACAATGCTCCTTCTCGTAGGTAATCTAATAATTCAATGTTATCACGGAATTAATCCTTCTGGCCATAACAAGTTGGCGATTACCAGTTGCTTCTTCTTTTGTGTGCCGTGTCCTTTCAGGACATAGACGATCATGGTCCTTCACATCTTCCTTACCCTTCTAGCTCTTAATACGTTTTGTCGTTTTGTTATTTCTCCCAGACCCTGTTCTGCTAACTATTTGCCCATTAAGTATGCCACGCGTTGCTTTCCCCTGTCCTTCTTTCCCTCTATCCACCCTGTGAGTATCAGATTTTCCAAGCCCTCCTTTCTCATTACGCACCCTAGAAATTTTATATGCCTCTTCCTGATGTTAAGTATAAGTTTCCTTTCTGTTACCATTCTCTCCAAAACCTCGTCGTTGTTCGACCCATGGTATCCTCAGCATCCTTCTGTAGGATAGCATTTCTGTTGCTTCGTGCTCAGTCAGTTATGTGCCATGCGTGATAGACGCTTAGGCGATCATGTATCTTTCGATATATGACTGACGAGGCAGATTTTTCCCGCAATAAGTTGCCATTCCTTTCCGCGTTAGGCCAGTTGCCATCCAAGGCTATAGAACCCCAGTCTGTTCTGCTATTTACCCATAACTGGGTGGTAACAGAAGAAGAGGATTCATACCTTTCCCAAGGGTATTACCACGTAAGTGAATATAATGGATTCGACTGGAATTCGAACTCGGCTCTCCGATTCCTCAATCCAAGCCGCTACCCATTAGTACTTGTCCTATTGTTTTGTTATCTCGATTGCAAACGATTACAACAAAAGTAGATTTATATACATCACAATAAGAGATGCGCAGAATTAATTTGCAACGTTAATTTAAACGACACAGGCTGGAGTTTCAGAGGCCTGTGCTGTCGATCGATATATTTTTCTTCACTTTCTTCCAGTCGTGAATTAATTAATGAGACACTCGGTGGATTGTCTCAATGTTTTTCGGATAGTTTTTTCGAACAAGCATGCAGAGTCTGGGCCTAAGAGTTACTTTCTATCCCACAAGTCACATAAAAACAGAAAGGCTGGGATGAGAGGTCAATTTTACTAATTTGAGGGTCACTTTGGATCAGCACCGCCTCGCCTGTCTACTATCTGCTTCACAACCGAGTAGTGGCGCCTGGCTCAACACAATGCCCTCCTCATCTACTTGTATCCTTCTAGATGATGAGTGCACTCGGGTCGGAGCCGCGATCCGTGTTGGGCTCAAATTATGTGAGTGTCACAGATGCAGATGTAGAGCTTCCATTGATTAGTTTGGCTTGCATCCTCTCTCCTGTCGTCGTAGTGCTGGCCGCTTTCCATGGTATGCAGCAATAAACATCAGAAGAAGAGGTCTAGATGCAGCTGGGTTCCCTCCATAATTGAACCCGTAATCCTCGAACGGGGTGATGGAAAGCGGCCGGATGGGTTTACCATTTTTCCCTTTTTAAAGTGGGGAAGTCGTTGATTCGGGATACAACCTGTGCCGATACGTTTTCGACCGGTAATTTGATAAGGTCCGCGGTTGATCCGGGGTCTGTCGCACGGGACGCGGAGATAAAAAAAAATAGTTAGATATTGCGGACAGATTTATTTTTACTCCAGTGGCAGTGGAGACTTTTGGGATTATTGGCCCTCGTTCGATGGCGTTCCTTCGGAGGGTTGGCGGGGTTGCGTCTCGTTTAAGGAACGAGCCTCGCGAAACGGGGTGGCTCTTGCAGTGTGTCTCACTGATGATGGAGCGACGGTAACGTTTTCGCCATCATTGCGACTGGCAGAGGATAGCAAAAAGAAAAACATTTTGTTTTTGTTTATAGATACTTTGTTCAAATAAAAACTTTGTTTCTTAAAAAAATTACATCAGCAAGTCAAGATATGTAACGTGTCAGATATGTGAGATATGTCAGGATATATGACGTGTCAGAAAAATAACTACAAAATATATGTCAATTGTAATACTGTTATTCAACTGGGTCTAACAAAACTGAACAATTACTTTTCCATTCTATT